TCAATATAGCTGTCTTTCTCTCTCGAGTTCCTATCTTCCTTTGTTCCTTAACGTTCACACTATGTCACCATAGCTGGCTTTCTCTCTCGAGTTCCTATCTTCCCTTGTTCCCTAAAGTTCTCACTATGTCACCATAGATGGCTTTCTCTCTCGAGTCTCTATCTTCCCTTGTTTCCAATGTTCACTCTATGTCACCATAGCTGTCTTTCTCCCTCAAGTTTTTATCTTCCCTTGTTCCCTAACATTCACACTATGTCACCATAGCTGGCTTTCTCTCTCGAGTTTTTATCTTCCCTTGTTCCCTAATGTTCACACTATGTCACCATAGACGGCTTTCTCCCTCGAGTTTTTATCTTCCCTTGTTCCCTAATGTTCACACTATGTCACCATAACTGGCTTTCTCCCTCGAGTTTTTATCTTCCCTTGCTCCCTAACATTCACACTATGTCACCATAGCTGGCTTTCTCTCTCGAGATCCTATCTTCCCTTGTTCCCTAACGTTCTCACTATGTCACCATAGCTGTCTTTCTCTCTCGAGTCTCTATCTTCCCTTGTTCCCTAACATTCACACTATGTCACCATAGCTGGCTTTCTCTCTCGAGATCCTATCTTCCCTTGTTCCCAAATGTTCACTCTATGTCACCATAGCTGGCTTTCTCCCTCGAGTTTTTATCTTCCCTTGTTCCCTAACATTCACACTATGTCACCATAGCTATCGCCTTCGAGTCTCTATCTCCCCCGTTCCCTAATGTTCACACTATGTCACCATAGCTATCGCCTTCGAGTCTCTATCTCCCCCGTTCCCTAACGTTCACACTATGTCATAATAGCTGTCTTTCTCTCTCGAGTTCCTATCTTCCCTTGTTCCCTAACGTTCACACTATGTCAATATAGCTGTCTTTCTCTCTCGAGTTCCTATCTTCCTTTGTTCCTTAACGTTCACACTATGTCACCATAGCTGGCTTTCTCTCTCGAGTTCCTATCTTCCCTTGTTCCCTAAAGTTCTCACTATGTCACCATAGATGGCTTTCTCTCTCGAGTCTCTATCTTCCCTTGTTTCCCTATGTTCACTCTATGTCACCATAGCTGTCTTTCTCCTCGAGTTTTTATCTTCCCTTGTTCCCTAATGTTCACACTATGTCACCATAGCTGGCTTTCTCTCTCGAGTTTTTATCTTCCCTTGTTCCCTAATGTTCACACTATGTCACCATAGCTGGCTTTCTCCCTCGAGTTTTTATCTTCCCTTGTTCCCTAATGTTCACACTATGTCACCATAACTGGCTTTCTCCCTCAGACCTTCCCTTGCTCCCTAACATTCACACTATGTCACCATAGCTGGCTTTCTCTCTCGAGTCCTATCTTCCCTTGTTCCCCTAACGTTCTATCACCATAGCTGTCTTTCCTCGAGTCTCTCTCATCTTCCCTTGTTCCCTAACATTCACACTATGTCACCATAGCTGGCTTTCTCTCTCGAGATCCTATCTTCCCTTGTTCCCTAATGTTCACTCTATGTCACCATAGCTGGCTTTCTCCCTCGAGTTTTTATCTTCCCTTGTTCCCTAACATTCACACTATGTCACCATAGCTGGCTTTCTCTCTCGAGATCCTATCTTCCCTTGTTCCCTAACGTTCACACTATGTCACCATAGCTGGCTTTCTCTCTCGAGTCTCTATCTTCCCTTGTTCCCTAATGTTCACTCTATGTCACCATAGCTGGCTTTCTCTCTCGAGTTCCTATCTTCCCTTGTTCCCTAACGTTCTCACTATGTCACCATAGCTGGCTTTCTCTCTCGAGTCTCTATCTTCCCTTGTTCCCAATGTTCACTCTATGTCACCATAGCTGGCTTTCTCCCTCGAGTTTTTATCTTCCCTTGTTCCCTAATGTTCACACTATGTCACCATAGCTGGCTTTCTCTCTCGAGTCTCTATCTTCCCTTGTTCCCTAATGTTCACTCTATGTCACCATAGCTGGCTTTCTCCCTCGAGTTTTTATCTTCCCTTGTTCCCTAATGTTCACACTATGTCACCATAGCTGGCTTTCTCCCTCGAGTTTTTATCTTCCCTTGTTCCCTAACATTCACACTATGTCACCATAGCTGGCTTTCTCTCTCGAGTCCTATCTTCCCTTGTTCCCTAACGTTCACACTATGTCACCATAGCTGGCTTTCTCTCTCGAGTCTCTATCTTCCCTTGTTCCCTAATGTTCACAATCTATGTCACCATAGCTGGCTTTCTCTCTCGAGTTCCTATCTTCCCTTGTTCCCTAACGTTCTCACTATGTCACCATAGCTGGCTTTGTCCCTCGAGTTTTTATCTTCCCTTGTTCCCTAACATTCACACTATGTCACCATAGCTGGCTTTCTCTCGAGTTTTTATCTTCCCTTGTTCCCTAACATTCACACTATGTCACCATAGCTGGCTTTCTCTCTCGAGTCCTATCTTCCCTTGTTCCCTAACATTCACACTATGTCACCATAGCTGGCTTTCTCTCTCGAGTTCCTATCTTCCCTTGTTCCCTAATGTTCACACTATGTCACCATAGCTGGCTTTCTCTCTCGAATTTTTATCTTCCCTTGTTCCCTAACGTTCACACTATGTCAACCTAGCTGGCTATCGCCTTTGAATCTATATCTTCCCTAGTTCCTATAAACGTACAACGTCTATCTTCCCCTGTTAGACTCTGCTGACAACGTCCTAGGAGTTGCTGAGAAGTAAGTACCATGCCCTTACGTTTACACCATGTCCTCAATTCAAGCTGTTTGAGATAACCGATGACAGCCAATGTTGACCTGTGTCTGAGTAACAGCAATGTAATGTCACAGTTTGTTGGTATTGATTCTAAAGTGTTTTACGTGCTCCAAACTTTCAGAAGCTCGACTATTTACATTTAAGACGATGGCGAACAAGACGTAAGCAGGTATTGACTGCCGTTGCTGTTCAGATGTGAATTCATTGGTTTAAACACTTACTTGGTATAAATATATCGATCTACTTCAGGATAGAGAGAGAGAGAGATAGACTGTGTTTCTGTGATGTCCGTTAACAGGAATTGTACCGAATCAGCTGCCGTTGGATACGACTCCGTTGCCAGTACGAGTGAGTACCTTATTGCAAACTGGCTCAGTTATTTTATCAAAGCCAAATGAAATTATTTTCAAATGCTAAGAAATTTAAAGTGACATTGTAATTAACGATATTTCGCCGAGATATTATTGCGAGTGAGTTTAGTTTTACGCCGCACTCAGCAATATTACAGCTATATGGCGGCGGTCTGTAAATAATCGAGTCTGACCAGACAATCCAGTGATCAACAGCATGAGCATCGATCTGCACAATTGGGAATCGATGACATGTGTCAACCAAGCCAGCGAGCTTGGCCACCCGATCCCGTTAGTCGCCTCTTACCACAAGCATGGGTTACTGAAGGCCTGGACCTTCACGGGTGATGACCAACAGAGACTATAAACTGGTCATTAGTTGAGTGACGGTCACCGATGTTGGTGTGTGTCTTCATGCAAGGTTAATTCTTCGATGGATCATGGACGGCTGATGATTTGCTGGACATTTCCATGAGGCCAGTTGGTAATGTTATGAGACTGACTAATCAACTTCAATGTCATCTTTGATGTGATTCGTAACGGTTTGTTGGCCTAGTGGTTAAGCCGTTCGATGGTCACTCTAAAGGCTCGGGTTCGACTCCCCACATGTGTGCAGTGTGTAAAACACTTTTCTGGTGACCCCAAACGTGATGTTCCTCTAATATTGTTAAGACCCAAACTCACTTTGAGGTGATTCAGACACGTGGGGCTTTCATGTTCGGTCACCTAGACGTCATTACAGTGAGTGAGTGAGTGAGTGAGTATGGTTTTACGCCGCTTTTAGCAATATTCCAGCAATATCACGGTGGGGGACACCAGAAATGGGCTTCACACATTGTACCCATGTGGGGAATCGAACCCGGGTCTTCGGCGTGACGAGCGAACGCTTTGACCACTAGGCTACCCCACCGCCCAGACGTCATTACAAATCATGAGATGTGTACATGATAAAGATGTCAGAATTATAATAGGTCACGAAGTATTGTCTTTTGGACCGAAAGGAGGAAACAAAAGGGCTTCCATCTGTTCAAGCAACTTGTTGCAACACCTCGAATAAATATTATTGACCACTGTATTAACTGAGTGAGTGAGTGAGTTAGAATTTAACGTCACCTCGGCAATATTTCAGCCATATAGTGACGAGAAATGTTTTACATAAACAATAAATTAAAGTTGCTAAATAATCAGTCCTGTATTAACTGAAGTAGAAAACGACGATATAGGGCCCTTTAGAATCACATTTCTTTGCTAAATGAAGAAGACAGTTTTGTCACTGGGAACGCTATTGGATCAGGCACACATTGATGATCTTCGACTGATTCTTAATTCTGATAAATTCGTCACTGAATGAATTAATAATTGAGTTTATGATGATGTGCAAGTATCAGTATATCATACATGTTTTACAAAGCAAAATAGTAGCTCGGTTATCTGAATTGTCACTTATTTGTCTATATTGTCACTTCATTGACTGTTGGGGCGGTAGGGTAGCCTAGTGGTTAAATCGTTCGCTCATCACGCCGAAGGTCCGGGTTCGATTCCCCACACGGGTACAATGTGTAAAGCCTGTTTCTTTTGTGTCCCCGGCCGTGATATTTCTGGAATATTGTTAAAACGCGACGTAAAACTAAACTCACTCACTACACTGATTATTGTCTTTATTTTACAGGTCACCGTTAATATGAAGGTCGCCTGTCTTTACACAGTGTGGATAATGGCCGTTGCTGCTCAAGGTAAGGATGGCTACCCGCATCAGGTCTTAGAATTGGTCTTCAGCAACACGTTTGTCGTAAGAGGCGACTAAAGGGATCGGGTGGTCAGGCTCGCTGACTTGGTTGACACATGTCATCGTATCCCAAGTGCGTAGATCTATGCTCATGATATTGATCATTGGATTGTCTGGTCCAGACTCGATTATTTACAGACTGCCGCCAATAGCTGGAATATTGCTGAGAGCGGCGTCATACAACAACCACACAAACACTGCATGTCAGTATGTAGCCGTATATAAAATAGCTTGCTGGTTAACGTATTGGTGTTAGCATTCAAATAAGCTTCGATGGTAAAGCATTAACATAAACTGGTTGTGATTATGAAAAGTTTGTATATGCATGTGGGCTTTATAAATCTATACACATGGAAAAAGGTATCGCAACACGCCATAATTTTAAAGGTATCAATGTTATCATTAACCACATCAAAGGAACTTATCCAAATCTCAATTTAACTAACTATCTGGATAAATTGATTTTCAATGAATGATAAAATGCAAATCTAAAAGCAAAAGAACGAAATACTGCAGTTTGTTCAGAGGAGCAAACGTGGCAAAAATTACTCCTTTTGTAGTGCTGATAACTATAGCCGTATGACGTTAACAGCTGCGGTCATTTTTAAGATTGTGGCAAAAATCCTCAAGAATTCACATAAGTATGAATTACCTGGCACAATGTCAATATCTGGTGTAACCTTCACCAACTACAATAACATCCCTGACCCTCAATGATTGCATTAGACGTTGAATTTGACGTTGAGGTATTGCGTTCCTTTCTTGATGGTGCGCTTGTTTCAATACCTTAAGCTTTTGTACTGGACGATCTCTCTGCAACCCATTATGTCCAAAACATGCTCTGGGATTGGCATCTGAACTCCTGGCGGATCAAGGTGAAATTGCTTGACGCAAGAAATTGGGTGCCAGTCAAATCGCCCCAGCTACAAAACGCCCCACCCAATTTGGTCAAAATGCCCCAGATTTTTGGTCAAATCGCCCCAGGTTTGGTCAAATTGCCCCAGGGGGGTAGTCAAAATGCCCCAGTGTATTTAAATTGGTTAAATACATATGCCACAAATGCATAGTTTTTCTCAACTTCCATATTATATTCTATATATAATATTATAATAGTGATATTTCTGATAAATTTTCTATTAGTAAACTGATAAGACCAAAAGTAATATTCATGTATAGACAACACTGTAATACCAATTATTTGGTAAAGAATTACAAGAGTAAAATGAAAGGTTTGTATAATATGTTTATTGGCTGTAAATAGTTTTTGGTCAACAAATGGCATTATGTAATCATAACAAGTATGGTATAATATTTATTATTTAAACATATTTATTTCCAAAGAAAGGAACCGGATTGGTAAACAAGCATAAGCTTATATGAATACCGCTCTGGGATACAATGGAAGGAAAAATCAACTCGTCATGATGAATGTACAATGTGAATGATATATAAATGTTGCAAAAACGAGAAATAACGCCAATCATTGTTAAACGGTATATGTCATATAAACAAAATATTTTGGATCAAATCCTCATGTTAAATTTATAAAAGAGTGCACTGAAATTAAAAGTTCTTTGTTTACTATTGAGGAGCAGCGTTGGTTTTCAAACAAAACTGATTCTAGGTCAAATCCTTCAGTATAAAAATACATAATTTGACGTATATCGTTGTAAAGAGTACATGAAAAGAAATAGTGAGCAGAGTCTTCATAGTTATGGCCACAAGAGCAAGAGGATGTTGGAGATATAAATCTTTAATATTTGTGCGCATTAAGGTCACTACATTCAAGCTGGAGACGGGAATGTATGATTAGACACAATCTGCTACCGAAATTTAAGTCAAAATGACTGTAGATATTAGAATCGTTCAAAATTACATTTTTGAATCTCGATAGGTGATGGTCAATTAGTGAATATGTTTCTATAGCCTGAAATGCTCATACATTCGAGCCTCAACATTTCCTTTAACTAAACACAGCACTGAATATCAATTAGTGAACATGTTTTAATAGCCTGTTTTTATCCACACTTTTTGACAAGATTAATTAACAAAAGCTCTAGATTGTTTTGATAAGCGTTATACCATACTTGTTGAGAAAACCTATGCATTTATGGCCTCACCTTTTTGACAAGATTAATTAACAAAAGCTCTAGATTCTTTTGATAAGTATTATACCATACTTGCTGACAAAAACTATGCATTTATGGCCAATACACATTTTATACAAACATTTCATTTCATTCTTGTAATTCTTTACAAAAGCATTAATAACATGCAAATAATTGGTATTATAGTGTTGTTTATACATGAATATTACTTTTGGTCTTATCAGTTTACTAATAGAAAATCTATCAGAAATATTTCTATATAATATTATAGGAAGTATATAATATGGAAGTTGAGAAAAACTATGCATTTGTGGCATATGTATTTAACCAATTTAAATACACTGGGGCATTTTGACTACCCCCCTGGGGCAATTTGACCAAACCTGGGGCGATTTGACCAAAAATCTGGGGCATTTTGACCAAATTGGCTGGGGCGTTTTGTAGCTGGGGCGATTTGACTGGCACCCCAAGAAATTAACAACGGTATCTGCACGACCATGTGACCTTGCATTGTCGTCCATGAAGGCGGGCCTTGTGTTCAGAGGATTAGGCCGCAAGTAACTGCAAACTTATTGTTGCGGCGTTAAGCAATATTCACTCACTCACTCACTCACTCGCTCAGAGGGTTGCCATCGAGATGCGGTACATCAACTCTATCTAGCTTGCCAGTGATGTACCGACTTTCCATTCAATGACGACTTTACTTAATGCACGGGATGCTCACCTTTGATCGTGAGGTGCATAACTAAAAATCAATGACTGGTGCGTACAAAGGGTAAAATTAATTATAACAAACACAATCATGATACAAATAGATATGTCTATACGGCGGTTAAAATCATAGGTGTTGCGATACTTTATTCCATGTGTATATAACTGCGTCACATATAAACATAAATACGAAGGTATTATAAAACTACAAAAATTGGATAACTTGTTGATTGTCACATTTCGTCAATAAAGAAAATATCGTATGACGTTCGACGTGTACTGTTCTCAGGCATAATTTTCAAATTGCAATATTAGTCCTGGTTATACCACAGGAATTCGGGTCTTCAGCAACCTATGCTTGTCGTAAGAGGTGACTAACGGGATCGGCTGGTCAGGCTCGCTGACTTGGTTGACACATGTCATCGGTGAGATGAGGTGAAATTGGGTTTTACGTCGTGCTCGAGAATATTTCGCTCATATGACGACGTGCATGCGTGTGTATGTGTATGTGCGGCTGCTTGTACTAGCCCAGACTTAAGCTGGTTTTATAGTGCTAGCCCACTGAGATACCATGCCGCAGTGAAGCATGAATACCCCACTCAGACACATTATACTGACTCCGAGCCGACCAGTCCTAATTGTACCCATTAATGACGAGCGCCAGGCAGGGACCAACAAGTACCATATTGTAACGTCTTTTGGTATGCCGCGGTCGGGGATCGAACCCGCGACCTTCCGCTCTCCGACATGTCATCGGTTCTCAATTGCGTAGAGCAGTGCTCATGATGTTGACCACTGGATTGTCTGGTCCACACTCGATTATTTACAGACCGCCGCCATATATGAAGGAGTAAGCATACACTTGTTATTCACAATAAAGAAGTTGACATCGGGTGGTCAGGCTGGCTGGCTTGGTTGACACATGTCAACATATCCCCATTGCGTAGATTGATGTTGTTGATCACTGGATTGTTTTTAAGACAGACCGCTTCCATATATTTGTAATATTTCAGAGCGTGGCGTTAAGCAGCAAATAAACAAATAAACAAACAAACACCATGAAACATTTATGGAAATTTGCACACATCTTGAAACTCCCTCCCAAACAAAGTTCTGGAAGTCATAATAAAGCATTTCTTAGATGTAATCATTCGGTGGACGTTTGAGTGAGTGAGTTTAGTTTTGCGCCGTTATTCACAATAAAGAAGTTGACATCCATAAATCTCGCTTTTCCGCCGCCATATAGCTGGAATATTGCTGAGTGCCAAGTTAAACAACCAACCAACCAACCAACCAACCAACCAAACCCCAGTACGGTTCAAGGCAAGCTAAACGTCTAATCTCGATGGAAACAGCAACGAAATCCATCTTGACCCTGACATGTATTAGTTCCTTATAGACTCGTACTATATTGTATTGTCTGTAAATGTTCATCAGTGTCTAACAGTGTATCAACAATAATGCATACCGTTGTTCCAGAACTTACGGAACACAGTGTTTGCAGCTTTAGAATTGTTGAGGTGTTCATCGATTTATCATTCAACGATTATTTATGTCTTAAGTACCACTATCAAGTGTTAACGTCATGATTCTTTACTACCGGTTATTTGTCACACAGGCCATTGTAAAGGTCCATTATCACATCCTTAATGGTGGTGTTGCAGCAGATATGAGTTGAATGTTACCTTAACCAGTGGTCCCTGAAACATCTTGTTGATGAACTTATATTTTATCTGGGTTACGTCTTCTTGTTATTCTTGAGTACAACGTTTCAGGGCTTGTTCTGGTCCCATCATCAGGTAAAAAACAAATTTTCTTTTTTACCTGATGATTAGGCCAGAACAAGCCCTGAAACGTTGTACTCAAGAATAAAAAGAAGACGTAACCCAGAAAAATCTCTTTGTTCATCAAATAGCATCTTCAAAAATGTCAACCAAGCATCTTGTTGATCGGTTGTCTGATGTACAGAGAATTTTAATAAAAATAGACGCCTACCAAAATGCCCACAACTGTACACTATGCACAGGCCGACTTGAGGAGAGATCGAGTGCCCATATACAATGGACACATGTGATGTGAAACTTTGTTCTTCCGACAAACTGTACTATGAACACTGATTATTTCTGATGTGACTTAAAAAACAACATTCAATATTCGTTTTTCGACGATATTTCGTTATGAGTTTTCATATGTAAACGTCAATATTTTTACAAAATCTGTCCTTCGTTAATTGTGTTTGCACTTTGTAGCACCTGTGAAGACTTGTTTCCTTTCATCTTAATATTTGTTGACAACAGACTGCTGAGAAAACGTTTATCTCCATACATCATTTGTTCAATATTCATTTGTCCCTTTTTGTCAAATCAATTGTTTACATACTAAGCAAAGCCTTGCCTTGTACGTCACCATGATGTATCGTTTAGGTTTATGGAACAGCAAAATGTATTGTCAAATAGTCTGTTACATGTACCATAAGAAATGAATAAGGGCCAGGTACGTATAAGATTGTTTGTCTTTGTTAAATGATTGTTTGTCTTTGTTAAATGAATGTTTGAAAGTAAACACATATTGCCATATTCATCTCTTAAGGGGAGGATTAATGACAAACATCTTGAGGGATGTTCTGTCGAGGAAATATAACGAGCAATTAAAACGGTTGATATTTCCCTGCCTGTGACATTCGGTAAGATATGTGTATATTTCCATTGAGCAAATAATCAATCTAAAAATCTAATATCGCATTTACTAGCCTTTGATGCATTATCCTTGAACACAACAAAGAGTCATTATCATATTAAATACGATGGATACCCGTGAAGATCCGGGTTAGAATTGGTCTTCAGCAACCCATGCTTGTTCGTAAGAGGCGACTAACGAGATCGGGTGGTCAGGCTCGCTGACTTGGTTGACACATGTCATCGGTTCCCAATTGTGTCGATTGGTGCTCATGTTGTTGATCACTGGATTGTTTTTTAAGACAGACCGCTTCCATATAGCTGTAATATTTCTGTGTGGCGTTAGACAGCAAATAAACAAATAAACAAACAAACAAACACCATGAACATTTATGGAAATTTGCACACATCTTGAAACTCCCTCCCAAACAAAGTTCTGGAAGTCATAATATAGCATTTCTTAGATGCAAACATTCTGAGGTGGACGTTTGAGTGAGTGAGTTTAGTTTTAAGCCGCACTCAGCAATATTCCAGCTGTATGGCGGCGGTCTGTAAATAATCGAGTCTGGACCAGACAATCCAGTGATCAACAGCATGAGCATCGATCTACACAACTGGGATACAATGACAAGTTTCAACCATGTCAGCGAGCCTGATCACCCGATCCCGTTAGTCGCCTCTTACGACAAGCATGGGTTACTGAAGATAAATTCTAACCGGATCTTCACGGGTCAGTGATATCATTGTTCGTGGTAACATGCATTCGATATCAGTGTTATTTGTTAGTTTCATACATCAACTCAACTTGCCTTTGCACGTATTTGTAACGGACGACACCGGTGGGGAGGATGTCGTCACCTTTCTGCGAGCATTCACTCATTCCCCATTAATTAATATGTTTTAATACCCTGTGCATGAGATGACGTGTGTGTTTCAGGTGGCGCAGTATTGGAAACAAGGCGTGGCCAAACTTTCACATTGTTGGAAAAGCTGTACACTTGGAATGAAGCTCAAGATGTATGTGACAGTATCGAACAAAAGATGCTGATTATCAGGAACATGGAAGAATCAACTGTTTTTGGGAAAATTGCCGAAACATGGAAAACAGATTCACTCTTGTGAGTAGGTTCTTTACCCACAATAGCTTGGACTTACTTACATTATAAGCAGATCTCCGTCTTATGTTGATATTTTTGTGAGGGACACGTTTCTGTGTTTTCTTCAGTAACCCATGCTTGTCGTAAGAGGCGACGAACGGGATCGGGTGGTCAGGCTCCTTCACTAACCCATGCTTGTCGTACCTGGGGTACGTATCTGTAGTACCTGTGCCGACAACGACCCCTTCAGCTTTACTATAAGGCACATGTTTATTCTAGTAGTAAATTCCAAGGTTAACCTTTGACATGGTCCGGGCTCTTGCCAGCCACCCATAGCCGTTACAGCCTTGTCACTCACGGGCTGATAACATCTTCACTGCTGAGGGGTAGCAAATGGGAGACTATTTGGAAACCCACGGGGATTTTGGACGTTTTCGCCCCGCCCTTTTTAAGCGTCAAGCGAGACAGAAAACCAGCGCGCTCTTGGACAAGTAGGCTTTGGCAATATTTCGCATGCCATAGTAGCAAGTGTATTGTCACCATGCATGCTAAACGTTCTTCGCACAAGTTGATACATGAAGTCTCATTTAATTTATTCCATTCCCTGTCAAAATATCGACATACAGGTAATGAAGTGTATAACTCAAGTACTACAAGTAGTGATGCTTTCACACGTACTGTGTGGCATGTAGCTGACTATATTACGTCATTAAACTATGGGCGTTAACTAACTTTAAAGTCCAGTTTCTGACTTTACCGAACTAGGTTAAAATTTTGGAGCATTTTGGCTGGACGAACGATAACAAAGAAAATCGCATAACGAAATCAAGCCCTGGTTCGTAAACTGCAATGGAGATTTCGGCGGATTACAACATTTTCAAAAAAATTCCCCGTCAGCTGACCGTCGAGAGATGTTTTTTCTCTCAGATTTTACCATTTTCTAAAGGCGCTGAAAGTTGATGCAGTTCGCGATGTAAGCCACGTGTTATCTTGATTATAGATCAGTGTATCGTGACCGCGACCGCCATTTTGTTTAACGCAAATGCAAGTAATATGGCCTCAGACCACAATTATTTTCCTTCTTTGCTATCTACACTGACATGCCAGTCCACCATAATTAATATCGGTCGTAGGCTGTTCTCCTGTTGCATGCTGACCAACCTGCCACTTGTCACTTAACCGGCAAAATATGGGCCTGGATCGACCATGTCAGTTTTGCTGTATCCACTGTAAACAATGGTCACCGGAAGTTACGGGCCGAAACACACTAGACAGCCTTGAACTTGGGGTCAAATCATGGAAGGCTGGTGTCAATACCATGTGTAGATTGTGGACCGAAATATTTTTGCAATAAAGTACAATGTCTTACCTTTCATTTAAGCTATCACAAGTCACCCTGAAAAAATTAGTACACACAGAACAGCCCATTTAAACAAGGCACTATATTCTCCTACTTTCCTTCCGGGTCATGGTAAAAGTTAAGGGAGGTAACTGTGGTCTGAGGCCATATTAGAGGTTGAATCTGATTGGCCGATAAGAAGGATATAAAAGAGCCTCTATACTTTGCCACATCTCCTGACTCTCTAAACATGCCACATCACCTGACTCTCTAAACATGCCACATCACCTGACTCTCTAAACATGCCACATCACCTAACTCTCTAAACATGCCACATCACCTAACTCTGTAAACATGCCACATCTTCTGACTCTCTGATCTCACACAGGACGACTGACATATGGACGGGACTTTACGACCGGCAGGCCAGCGACGCATCCGACACACAGTATCACTGGCAAGGGGACTGCAGCCCTCTCGTCAACTTCAACCTGTGGCGTGCGAATGAACCCAACCATCAGGATCAGGACTTCTGTGTTCGACTTGATAAAGCGGAGTATCGGTTCCGTACAACAACGTGCGATACGGAGTGTCAAGTTGTGTGCCAGAAGGAGGAAGGTATGTTATGAATAATATATTTATTGTATAACAATTCATAAACACTGCCCAGTCACTGGATTGGTTAGTCCAAACTTAATAATGTTACTTTTACTTTTACTTACTTAAATTACCAGGAAACAAACGCTGACATTTTGTTGTGTGCGGATTCAGGACATGATTACTCTTGTCACGAACAGCCAGTTGCCAAATATACCTAGTGGAATCTGTTTCCTTAGATAATCGAGACTGCTTGTTGTCATGTTGTGTATTATGTTTCCATAGTTACATGATGGTTACGCTGAATTACAAATATATACTTACGCTCTGTAATAGTAATTGAATCAGGACCAAAAGAGATGTATGCTCAGGCATGAAGATTAATGAGGCGTGAAATCACCCAGCTAACACACAGCGTTTTCGTAACGTTGTGGGAAGGTTGTAGATTGGTAACGTCATGACACAACGCTAGTATAACGTCACTTTCTAACGTTATGTCACAACGTAATACCAACGTTGCAAATTTAAGTTGAGGAAACGTTGGGCTTTGGTCTCCTCAAAACGGTATGACAACGTTTCTTATAAAGAACGTTTCTTATAACTTCGTGTCACAATATCTTATAACTTCACTTTGAGATTCTTTCTTTAGGCCACAACGTTGTGACAACGTAAATGGGAGTCCACAGAATAACGTTGTAACAACGAATGCATAACGTTGTGACAACGTTGTGACAACGTGAAAATGTTAGCTGGGCAGAGGCCTGCCATTATATGTATCTCCATCCAGAACATTTCCAGTGGAACCAGATAATCCATTCGTCTAAGGCGCCGCAATCCGCCTACAGTGTTAGGTGTGCATGGCACGCCAGCTTCCTGTGGCCATGGATTTGAATCCCACTTTACCCGATTAGGTTTCTTGGTTTGTCGGCTCGATCGCAGCTGTAGGTTTCACCAAAGTGTTCAACGCCTGAGGTTGCATTACTTCGGGTTTTCTTCCCTCATTAAGCTGACACTCCGTGATGTAACTGGATTACCGGTATTTAACCCAACTCGCTCCCACACTGAAATTATTATTATAGGATATTTATATCGCGCACATATCCAGGCAACTAGTGCATGCTCAAGGCGCTGGTATTTTCCCCTCGATCATTGGATGGCAATCTCAACGGCACATCGTATTATCAATCTCAACTCCCTGGGGAACATACAACTCTTGCAGCCACAAGCCGCACCGAGTTATTATGGCTTTCTCATGCTAATGAGGTACCCATTCAAAGCTGGGTGGACTGGGACACATAGTCACAGTACTTTGCCCAAGTTCACTGCACGTTGCTGTACCCGAAACTAGGTGTTTGCACGTATTCATGTGGCCACCATCTGGTCATATACCAACGGATTCGTGGGTTCTTTTAAGTGCACAGGGTTGTGTACAGTACACTAGGGGTTGTGACAACACTGAAAGGGTCTGCAAACAAAGTTGACTCCAAGGTTTTTACACCCGGTCACAGGTGGGCTCGATCCCGGCACCTCAACCTCCCTGGATCACTAGCCTGGCGCCTTAGCCAGCTCGCCCAGCTCGTATTTCATGGTGTAATTCGCTGAATTGTCTGGTCCAGACTCGATTGTCGTACAGCTGTACCGCTGAATGTGGTGTCAAACAAACACATCCTCATGATACAGTCAGAATTGTACAACTGTCTCTACTTTTAGAAGAATTCCTAAGGAAGAGGAACATTTTTTGTCTTTTCTATTACTACGCATTCAAACTCCAGATTGCCAGTTCGAGACGTTAAATCGCCGAGTGATCTCGGAGACCCACTTCAACGTGTCCATCCCTGACGTTGCCAGCTGCCAAGAACTGTGTTTGACCACAGACTTTGGGGACACGGAGTGTGTCGCGTGTGACTACACACCAATTCTCGGTCTCTGCAGGATGGCCCTGAACAACTCCCTGTATATCGGAAATGAACAACCCGCGACCTCAGAGTCAACGTCTTCGTCTGTCTACATCAAGAGATGCTCCATAGGTAAGGTTCAGCGGTGTTTAAACTGATCCTAATATACCATCAGCTGTGTCATGTTCTGGAAAAGTGGGGCGGTGTGGTAGCCTAGAGGTTAATGCGTTCGCTTGTCACGCCGAAAACCCGGTTCGACTCCCCACATGGGTACAATGTGCACTAACCTTCCCCTTTTATACATAGCAGAAAAAACTGCGTATGGGAATAGATAACCTATCATTTTGCACAATGTTTTTGGATTGTTCCTCTACGGTGAAGTTTAAGGTAATCAATGCAGGGAAAGCGGTCTGTGGAAAGCCATATCGTAGATCGGAATAATATTCACATTCAGTCAAGAAATGTATAAATTTGTAACTCATTTCGCTGAAGCCTGGTCCATATTTGCAACTGTTGGCAGGAAACACGACGGTAAGATAATTACAAATCATTACTGACTTCCGTATCATGATGATCTTTCTCGGTTACAGGCTATTACAACAGTGAAACACTAAATATAGTTGATAACAGTGACACAAAGCCCATTGATAGGTGTCCAACACCTACAGCAGCTGCGTCAAACGCTGGTGGTTCAACTGAGTCTACAGCCTCTGATGCTACACCAGCTTTTGTTACAAGCAGTAATATGGCTACAACGACCAATACTGGTATTTCTGCGACAACTACTTCTACGTCTGCTAACGGCGCTACTGCAACTACGCCTACAGCTACGACTCTCCCTCCAACTGCGGCAGGGAGTATTAATGGTATGCCAACGGTTACTACGTCTGCTAACGCCGCATCTGCTGCGACTGCAATTACGCCTACAGCTACGACTCTCCCTCCAACTGCGGCAGGGAGTATTAATGGTATTCCAACGGTTACTACGTCTGCTAACGCTGCATCTGCTGCGACTGCAATTACGCCTACAGCTACGACTCTCCCTCCAACTGCGGCAGGGAGTATTAATGGTATGCCAACGGTTACTACGTCTGCTAACGCCGCATCTGCTGCGACTGCAATTACGCCTACAGCTACGACTCTCCCTCCAACTGCGGCAGGGAGTATTAATGGTATTCCAACGGTTACTACGTCTGCTAACGCCGCATCTGCTGCGACTGCAATTACGCCTACAGCTACGACTCTCCCTCCAACTGCGGCAGGGAGTATTAATGGTATGCCAACGGTTACTACGTCTGCTAACGCTGCATCTGCTGCGACTGCAATTACGCCTACAGCTACGACTCTCCCTCCAACTGCGGCAGGGAGTATTAATGGTATTCCAACGGTTACTACGTCTGCTAACGTGCATCTGCTAATTACGCCTACAGCTACGATCTGCTGCAACTGCGGCAGGAGTATTAATGGTATTCCAACCTTACTACGTCTGCTAACGCCACATCTGCTGCGACTGCAATTACGCCTACAGCTACGACTCTCCCTCCAACTGCGGCAGGGAGTATTAATGGTATTCCAACGGTTACTACGTCTGCTAACGCCGCATCTGCTGGTACTGCAACTACGCCTACAGCTACGACTCTCCCTCCAACTGCGGCAGGGAGTATTAATGGTATTCCAACGGTTACTACGTCTGCTAACGCTGCATCTGCTGCGACTGCGACTACGGCTACAGCTGCGACTCTCCCTCCTAGTGCTGCCTCTTCTACGACTACACCTGCTGATATAACTGCTACCAGTACTACTACAGTTTCCCCAACTACAACAGTGACAACACAGTTTGTCAGCACGTCAACGACCACGGAACCCGCCTACCTTAATAGCAGTGAAACGACAAACACAACCCAAAGACTCATTAATGACTGGGAAACCTGTAATATTTCAAGGGAGGACACAAATTCAAGTATGTTTTCTGTGAAATTATCTGACACCGTGAACATCCGGGTTAGAATTTGTGTTCAGTGACCCATGCTTGTCGTAAAAGGCGACTAACAAGATCGGGTGGTCAGGCTCGCTGTCTTTGTTGATACATGTCATCGTATCCCAATTGCGTAGATCGATGCTCATGATCACTGGATGGTTTGGTCCAGACTCGATTATTTACAGCCCGCCGCCATATAGCTGGAATATTGCTGAGTGCGGCGTAAACCTAAACTCACTCACACTCAGTTTCTGTTGTGATATTGATGGAATTTTGGTAAAACGGCGTAAAACTATACTCACTCACTTTGAGTGTATCACAAACGTAACATTCTGCCTTTTTACTCATAGAATAAATTCTTTTCTATTATAGTGTGTATTTGCCGAAGGCAAGTTCTTCAAGTGTTTAACTGGAAGGAAGAACACCAACTCCTAATTCTGAAGAAGACATCGTTATCGTCATATCGCCGATCCAAGATATCGGTTGTGGATGAGCGACCTTCGGCCATCAGTATCGGCGCAACGGGAACCACTGTTATAATCCTAGTTATTCTTACTATTGCCTCGAAGGACGTCTACGGCTGTTGTGTTTGGTTGCTTCAGTTAACGAAGGCGAACTGAAGTCTCGAGAGGAAACATCATCGTTTACGCGTAAATGATCGACCTTCGGCCGTCTGCATTGGGAACATTATAACATATGATCATAATTATTATCACTATGACGTCCGTGGACCGTTATGGATGATGTGGTTGGTCGTTTCGATGTTTAAGTGAATCTCTAGGAGAGGCAACTTGGTAAACAGCTGATGTCAGTCCTAAATGAAAGCGACAAAACCCTTTCCATATCCGAAAGAACTCTGCTAAATTCAGAGTCGTATCTCCAATTGCGACTATATCATGAACATGGGTTTATGAAATTCCTATATTTATGAATCCCATAGTTTTGATAAGTCAAAATAGGGAACTGCATATCTTTTGCAGGGGATACTAGTATATCTTTTGCTATTGAAGCGTCAAACATTGGAATTTACCTCACATGTCGATCATAATGTTTTTGAAAGCTTTACTGAGGCTTGAGTGGTGAATATTTGATCGACCAACTTCTGAGTCGAATTATGCTCTCTGAAATCTTGGTATAAAGAGCATGCTTCGTTGTACCTCAAAAGATGTGAAATGTAACCACCGAAGGCTGGAACTGTTGGAATATGCTCAACATAAATTTGACTATACAAGTTGAAATCTTTCCTTTTGTTATACATGTACATCATTGTGGAGTTGTTTTTTTGTCACAGTTAATCTTTACGCATAAATTTAAATATGAAACACAGGAGGCGGTCTCATTTGTGTCTTTCTATTTCAGGAGTGGAAGGTGATTGGCTATTTGATGGTTATTGTAAACATATTAGAACATCGATACTTCTTAATTAAACCAGATTAACAACTGGCGAGCTGAGGATGCTACTTCTTTTCTAATTGTTTTATTCCGCACATGGGTATAATGTGTGAAGCCCATCTGTGGTGTCCTCAGCCGTGATGTTGCTGGAATATTGGTAGAAGCGGAGTAACACTAAGTCACCCACTCACTTAATGTTTTACCTCCACATTTTACGCAGATCTTATTAATAAAGAAATCAAACATTTCACACATTGTACAATCAGTAAACTTCAGATGTGGACATGACATCTTTTTTGCCAAATTGTCCCCATTCTTTGAATATACATATGCAACTCTATCTGCGCCCGCCACGTTTGTTGCCTATTGTCCATGGATTAAGGAATTGCCTTTTTCGTGTGTACTAGTGGTATACAACGTTGCAAGATCTGAACTCGGTCCGTTTCTAAGATTGTAAACATCCAAGCAAATCCTTTCTGACTTTGAGAATCCATAAGGTATTATTATGCTTGTCTGAAAATATTTGCTATATTTATAAGAAAGTCACTTCCTTGATAGTCTTAAATATTATGATTACTTTTTGAGACAGGGACCAGAAATATATTTCGGATTTATATAATTGTATTGGAATTCAGTGCTGAAGATAAAAGTACTTATCCCTAGGTTTAAGATATATGTAGCGATGTTTCCAATAATGGTTATGTTGTATGAGGCCTTCTCAGTGAGACCAACTACGAACGTTTCATGCAGAGCAGCTATACTTTGGATGACAGCCGGCTGGGACAGAATGGGTATGTTCCAATTCTGATACATCTTTTTCAGATTTTGCACTCTAACAATGACAACATCACGCACTTACTCAACCCACTGTGAAAGTTCTAAAGTAATACAACACCTCTCAGATGCATTGTTTGTGAACATATCCTCTAGATTATATTATTTCAATATACTTAGCTCCTATTGTCCATTTCTTGCGGTCGATAGAGTTCCAACACGTAAAGAAGCTTTGTAATTTGTTATGCGTGAAGCGGAACCAACCAATAATTGTATTATTGTCTCGGTGAATGATTCCCATGAATGTGTCGACAGAAAACAAGAGAATACAATAGAAGTACACGAACAAAGGCGCCTTCAGGAAGATTTCAGGTTCTTGTTTAAAAAGGTCTTAATCATAGTTGAAGACACTAAGACACGAGATTCTTGAAGGAAGGAAAAAATCACTTCCTTTAATAGGACATAGCTTTCTGTGAGGCATATGATATGTACCTATTTGTTACAATTTGTTTCAGCCAGTATTTTCTTAGGGGAATAATTCGTATTTTTTTATAAGCAATAATACATTATCGACGAAGTAAACTTGATGTGAATTTCAGTATGTTTACTGTAAGTATATACATGGGACTTAATTAAGCACCATTCTGTTTTAGAACACAATGTGTCAAACTTTCGTACTTCTAGAACAGCGGTAATGATTGATTATCTGATGGAAGATTGAATAATTGACTAGAAAAACAACAAAATGTAGGCAATATGTCAATTTGTATGAGAAATGTGAACCCTCTTAATTTGGTGGAAAAAGCAGTTCATTGAAAAGGTATTTCCCAAGCACGACTCATGATGAGATAGTGCCGGATCTCGCTGTCCGTATAGGCCCCTTTAAAATCAACCGACGTGATTGACATCACTACCTCGTGTATCCGCCACGTGCCCGGATGACACTTCCCCCTTCTCATCATGCTATCGGGGCGGTGGGGTAGCCTAGTGGTTAAAGCGTCCGCTCGTCACGCCGAAGACCCGGGTTCGAATCCCCACATGGGTACAATGTGTGAAGCCCATTCCTGGTGTCCCGCCGCCGTGATGTTGCTGGAATATTGCTAAAAGCGGCGTAAAACCAAACTCAGTCAGACATCAGTACCTCGTGTATCCGGATGACCAGATGACAACCTTCCCCGTTCTCATCATGCCAACGGGGCGGTGGGTAGCCTGGTGGTTAAAGCGTCCGCTCGTCACACCGAAGACCTGGGTTCTAGTCCCCACACTGGCACAATGTGTGAAGCCCATTTCTGGTGTCCCCACCGTGATGTTGCTGGAATATTACTAAACGCAGCGTAAAAACATACCCACTCACTCATCAAGCTATCAGTGAGCCCGCCACTTCCCATGCAATGCTGTCCCACATTTTGTACAGGAAGGACCTTTGCCTGGGTCATGATATTCAGCTGTCCAGAGTGGATTGCAATGGCCTTCGTCGATCCTTGACAGCGCCTGTTTGTTGGTGTTTCAACATAGGTCCACTGATGACAGAGTGGCAGCAACAAGACGTCCGATGACCTTGAGTGAGCCCATACCCGCTGCCATCTCAGTCCCAATGAAAGTCTTCTCCTCGCCACGAGTATGATGAAACGGATGGTATATCCACACATTTTATACCCTTGAACGGCCAGTCAGAGATACTGATTTTCATGATATGAGTGGGTAGTATGCTTCACATTCATGTGGGCTGCGTTTTGGCAAAGCCTTTCAATCTGAAACCTTGTTTTTCATTACCTGAAATGTGTTGCTGAACAATTCCATAATTGACATATCATCATCATCGATAGCTTCATCACTATGATGAGACATATTACAGGGTGCTGAATACGTTCCATGTGTATACTTAGTACATAATATTTAGTAAGTATTTGTCTATAGGATGGGTATGACATTTGTATGATGGGTAAATGTAGTCCTCATACCACAACAACTTGAGCACCTGGGGATTCCAGAAAACATACTGACCAGCAAAAGAAACGCAATTCAAGAAATCAAAACAATTGTGCTAAAGTATCAAATCCAAACTCATGCTGAAAAAGTATAATTTTCATGAATTCTGAGTTTCGTTTTTATTGTTGGTCAGTACATATGGCTGAATATTGGACCCCGGGGCGGGAAGGCTCTGGGCCTTTGTTCACCCAGACTCGATTATATACCGATCGCCGCCATAGAACTGGAATTCGGGAGTGAGGCATTAAACAACAGGCAATTCTCTCGATTAGACTATTGCAACACCAAACAACAAATCAGACGTCTGCAGCACATCCAAAACTATGCTGCCAGATTGGTCACTCGGACGAATATTAAGGCACACATCACACCAGTGCTAAACTCGCTTCACTGGCTTCGCATTCCTGAGCGAATCATTTTCAAAATTCTCTCACTCACTTACCAAGCTGTCCATGGTACTGGACCTGCCTATCTGAGTGATCTGACTGTCTCATACCTCCCTTCAAGAACTCTACGCTCTAGTCAACAACAGCTCCTTCGGGTGCCTGTCACCAAACTTAAAACTTTCGGCTCCAGATCCTTTTCTGTCTCAGCCGCTACTCTGTGGAACTCTCTACCCGAATCACTGAAGTTGATTCCATCTCTTGAAACTTTTAAATCCAGTCTTAAATCCTACCTTTTCAAGCACTATACGTAAAAGATACATAACTCATACCATTGTGGAGAACTCAACTGCCTCTGTTTCCATCGTTTGAGGCAATGCGCTTTGAGCATACCTTCATGGCGTGGATATAGCGCAATATAAGTGCCATTATTATTATTATTAAACAAAACAAGAACATATTGTCAAACGGATCTGTCTGGAAAATAATACTTACAAAATAAATATTGTTTACATAGTCACGAGTTTGCATGTTTTATGTGCGTACACGCTATTCAACAACCTAAGCTTGTTTCATAAACTAATAATAGCGATATTGATAGAACAGAGGTTTTGAATGATAATAATACAATGCTCACGAATCTGTGAAGTACACTAACTAATTACGTAAATATAGTGTTACTGAAAACACCTATGATTTGTTGACAATGGAAGTTAATTCTGCGAGTCACTACATAGATTGAATTTGGAAATGTTACTGTTATTGTGAGACCGTTCCTATTTCTGTCCTGATACTCACAATGGAAATGTACGTCTTCATTGAACATTCTTAAAGCCCGCTAAACAGTGATATAATGACAATCATGTTTGTGAACAAACATTAAATAGTTCACATTTCATCGCAAGG